ATATATATGGAAAAACGGAAATAAGTGCAGTGGAACGTCTGGACTCCGAATTGAATAATTGCCCTATTCATGAGTCAAATGAGAGTATTGTAGCAGGATTAATTTACAATCTCTCTTTAGATTTACACAGCTCAAACATCCTACTGAAAAACTGTTAGCTCACTTGTAGTGCGTCCATCATTTTGAACATTCCCATGGATGGCTAACAATAAGGAATTTGAGTGTGTTTCAGTTTTTCAGAATATTTTAAAATTTCTTGTGGCGTCATTATTCCACTTTGTTCCTATTCATTTTTAAGCTTAGCGGTGCACACATCCGCACGGACGAAGTTTTTTCTTTGAAACGCGGTGACTCCCTTATTGATTGCAACATGCGCACAAAGCTGAAGATGTTTTTTTTATCAGGGAACTGATTATTTATCAAGCATACAAAGGAAATGTCTGGCGTTTTAAATGCAATCTGAAACAGTTGGTCCTGGCTTTCGTTAATTCAAGAATGGACTGATCTGACTATACGAAATCTGACGAGAAAAGCAAACGTATCCACTAAATCCTCGTTACATTTCCCCTCGATTCCCCCCGATTTCCCTGTTTTTTGTATCCGCAACAACGAGTGCTCCATTTTTCCAAAATTGCTAAATAATTCCTGCAAACTTCACCACTCCAAATTTGTTTATCTTGATCAATCGAAAGCTCTTTATTCCTGGATTTTATTCTTATTTTCCATCTTTCTCTATATTTGACGGGTACGTAGCTGGTGATGTTCTTCTGATTTCAATTACTATGTTCCCATCTCTTTTCCACGGTCCTGAAAACAGCACCATTTTGAGTAATAACAAATTTCAACTTAGACGTCATCCTTCCTCCGGTGGTGTGTATTAACTTCCTCTGGCTTCACTAGCTTAAGTGAACTGGTTTTAATGAAACTTTGAAAGTACTTTGCTTCAGACCACACTGCATCCAGTTGAGCTCAATTTGTGTTCTGAAACGTACTTGGTCGAATAGACTATGCAAGTGTGCCTTTAGAGAGTCGTCTCCCGTACTCAAAACATCTGCGTAAGAGTTATCCAAGGATCTGCACCTCCATCATTCTTCGCGCCAACACCGTACTATCATAGGTTCTTCTTTGTGTGAAACCATTCATAAATGACGTCATAATACATCCATCTCCAGTTGACACGTTTTGCCTCTGGTGTGTATTAACTTCCTCTGGCTTCACTAGCTTAAGTGAACTGGTTTTAATGAAACTTTGAAAGTACTTTGCTTCAGACCACACTGCATCCAGTTGAGCTCAAT